ATTTAATCGCAATGAGGAACTTTTTGACGTAATTTGAACTAGTGTTTGATTCCATCAAGTAAAGATGAAGTGATGGAGGACAAAAATAAGTGGATAAGAGGTAATATCTCGAATAAGGTTTCTTTGCGAATCTGCTGGTAGTTTATTGCTTCCAATCCCACCTTTTATTGATGTTGATTGAGAAGGCGACAGAACTACGAGGACGATCATGCGTCGTTGTGGATGTATTTATAGAGTGTTCGTGAATAAAGAACCAATGGAATTTAAGGCTAGGTGACACATACCAATCAGCTTAAGGCGAACCTTTTCAAATAAACATTTACTCATTAGATTCCACTAGGCGAAGTCAAGTCACTGTCAAAGTGAGGTGTTTGGAGAAACATGACGTTCTCATAACCTGTCAACTCGCACAGTTAGTCAGGTACTGGGGCATCAGCATTGGCTTCAATGTAAATAACAATGATATCGTAGTAAATAAATCATGCAAGCACGAGTCAGTTAATCGAATCAGTCCGTAATGAATCGTGTTTATTCACGCCCGTTATCCCGGTCGACGCATCCACACACACACACACACACCTCCTTTTCACGGCGGGCCCGTCTGCTCATTCACCACTCACCCGCTTTTTCCATCTGGCCATTCGGATGTTTGCACTTTTACCAGGTCATCCAGACCGTATTAGTCATGCGCAAATGAGCACGATTGTGTCTCGCCCTCTCCGGTCCTCTTTATGTTCGCGGGTATCACGGTAGAGTTTTAGGGCTAGACTTTAACCATGAGCCCCTGCGCGATTCAAGACCATATGCTGGGCCCTCAGCAAGTCGAAAGGTCCTAAAGCACGTGTTTGAGTAGAAATAAGAAGGGCAGATTTTGTGAGACTGTACAGCAAAGCGAGGAAGACTGACTTAAGAATATTTCTAAGGTATTAAGTAATAATACACCTTTATTATCATCACATCATTCAAGCGTTTAAGGGACATAGGCATCCAAAATCCAGATCATTTGTATGTTTCTCGCAAAAGCAAAGGCAAATAGTCTTCGGAGCTCCTTTAAATTTATTCACTTAATGGCAAAATTTTTCCAGATGTGAACACTACTACTTTTAAATACAGGATGTAGCACAATATCGAGGACACGTTTTAAGCAATCCAATTGTCACCCAGAGGGCAACAGGAAAGTGTTTCAAATTTTAGGCAGCACCCTTTGAATGCCAAAAAAATAGCTTACCACGAAGGTAGCTGTGACTCCAGACGTGTTTTACACGCCAGTAGTTAAGTGCGCAACTTCTTATAATCTCTTGGGACATTTTCAGCTTTTGGGATAACAAAGGTAATTTGCTTTGCCCCAACAATATTTATTTAGAGGGCTGCATTTGCGTTTTGGTGAGCATGCGATAACTGGGTAGGTCTAGAAACTGTGCAACTTGCTCTCTCGGTTGCAACCGACAACGCGAAATGGGTCAATCAGCCATATCTCGGAAATATTCTGAGTGGCTGGAAGAAGATCGCACGATTTAAGGTCAGAATGACAAAACTACCACCATGGTGGTCTCTTAGGACAAGGGGAACAGGAATGAGGTCTGCCATGTAATCAGTTAGTGTTAGAATTTCAGAGTGACGATTACATAATGGGTTGCTGGGTGATCATAGACTACTGAAAATGGAATTTAATTGAAAACTTTCTCACAAACTAGTAAATCCCAACGTAGTTGGGACGGATATGTTTTATTGAATGTGCTGTCAATTTGCATCAAACCTCACTGCCTAAGGTGACTTCGTGCCTACAGCTCAAATTTTATTTAACGAAGGCTTGAAATTGCAATTTAGTTTATGTGCAAGATCAGTCGAACTAACTTTTAATTCAAAACCTAGAAAGTTTTAACCCTCGTCTCTTATGCGTTAAGTTTGCTCGTAACCAAAGGAAATTCACTCGGGTAAACGGTACCAGATCCCTTGTCTGGCGCTAGAACCGACCTTCTCATGCCCAGGCAAGACAAGACCAGAGCTCGAGCATAGAGCTTTAATCGTCTCAGCCAAAAGGCGAGTGATCTGTCTGAAAAGTGCACGCTTATATAAGCCAGAATTGACCTTGACCTGATGGATGAAAACGGATTAACACAGATGCTAGGGGATTAGTGTAAATAATGACGAAATAGGCGATGAGCCATCTTGAGGAATCTTGGATACCCAAAATTATGACACCAGAAGCAGTCTTGATGCAACAACTTCGCACACAAATCTTTGTTAACGTCCACGTCTCCTTTTCGTGTCAGCTTCAGCCATGAAAGCAGATGGTAATTTGATTTATTAGGAATTTATTAATTTTTCAGTAGATAAAAATGAAAAATTATTTTAATCGTCATGTGGTGGTTCCTGTTATGGCCGTTTATGCTTGCACGCACGCACAGGCGTATGAAACTGGAGTGAAGAATAGGGAAATTCAGATAAAAATGTAATTCTGTCAATCGAATATTGCAGAACAGTTTTCAACATCTGAAATTACTTGCAACTTAAAACTTCGTCTGTCCTTTGGGCAAAGCATTTTATCAACACCAATTTCGACAAATAGGGCGCAATTCAACCATCGTGAGGATCTTTTGTAGGTTCATTTTGCTTTCTGCTTAATCATACAGGAAATGACCGTCGACTTTGTATTGGTCGTGATACAGCTTGGAGTCAGGAATGACGAAGAACCAGCCACGTAGTAACCTTGGTAGAATTCCACCCTCTTTTTAAGGCAGTACTATAAAAGCCCCGATTGAGTTGCCTTTGTCAGTACTAGCCAAACGGGTGAAAGCCAATTCGACAGAAGTTTCATAACTAAGGGCCACCATACGACAAATTTGTTCCTACAGCATCAGCTACTTAATGACTAAGCTATTGCAGGAGGCGAATTCCATATTTGAAACACTGAAGGTTGTGTGAAGGGAGGTGCGTGAGGACTGCTGGGTTTGTGATACCTTCTCCCAGAAGATTGAAAAAAAGTTTGTCCCAAAAAACACATGTATTTGTGCAAAGTACTATGGGACTATTAAAATAATCTGAGTACGACTAGTAGGAGTGTGAACTGCAGCGCATTATCTTGCTGTAAACAGTAACAAATGAGGTATCCAAATGCGTTCAGCTGCTAGAACGGCTCAATAACATCTTACATTAAATCAAGGGAGGCCTCCTAATACCAGGTGCTTTTGTATAAAATGGCCAGAACGAAATCTTTGATTCACGGTGAATGATATTTACGCGAATTCAGCATTCATTTAGTATTGTTGACATCTCACGAATAATTCAAGGCATTCAAATATCAACCTCTTTTTGTAACGAAGCAAACGTGACTTATCCACGCCTCAGGGGATTCCTTAGCTGTGAGGTTTCAGACACACTATTATGAGGATTTGGGAAATCACAGGTACAGGGCAATCTGAATTTGGGTAGTGAACCTAGGACCAATCAGACTGCTCTTCACTGATCGGTTAATTTAACCTTTGGTTATTTTGGATGTTCTTGATTTTTCTTAATTAAAAATTTTGGCTATTACTTCGGCTGTGCTAAATTTCAAACACAAAGTAGTTTAGTGTTCCCGAGTAGCACACTTAGAAAAGGCCTGTGTTTAACAGCCTGAACAATTGTTTAGTATGTCCGTTGTCTTGTTGTTTTTGATACAACCAGTGATGAAAACAGATCAAAATGTAACAAAGTTAGACAATTTTGGTCCGTTTTGAGGGAAATAGCGTTGACCATTAATCTCACTGACCAACAGTAATAAGATTGAGGTGGGATTTGTTTCCGCACATCTTTTTTTATTTTTGTGGCAGCCCTGTCGAGAATTTTCATAGTTTTAAGTACTAATGCCCACCTTGGCTGAAGTTATTTAATAAATGCTTCCAGTGTCTGGAACATGCATGCGAACATCAGTCCTATGAAAAGTAACCCCCTACATTGGTGCTCAGCACCATATCATAGAAAACGCAATTCCGGTAACACGCATCATTTAAACTTGTAAAAGCCAGAAAGCTTCATTAATTTCCAAATTGGGCTTAAAGATGAGAGCACCTAACTGGGAATTTTCAGCTTCCGATTCACATTTTTTTAGTAACGCTAAAAAGCCAAAAAATTGTCATCTATTTACAAGTGAGATCCGATTTATTTTCAATTACATTTATATTCAGTGGTAGCACAACGCATTCCAATGTGTCCGGTTAATGCGCGTTTCGCGTTATTAAACAAGCCAAAAGACCCAAAATGAATGCAGCGGCTGACCACCTGGCATTTCTAGAGGCACAGAGGTGCCTCTGCGAGCCCTCGTTAATACATATACGCTTTTTTTCGCGTAGAATTTGCATTAGCTTTCCATTAAGAACGCTATGGTAGTATGCACGTCCGTTTATGTGTTCATTTTATGCAAAGAGAGGCCGTTTTGTTAAAGACAACTGAGCAATAGCCGTTTTGTTTAAGTTCCACCGAATAAAAACACATAGTGTTCGCATTTGATGTGATTTTACTGATTTGCAATTCATTAAAATCACACAAAGTAGAAACTTGAATGTCGACTTCAAAATGCAAGATGAATTTCCAAAAAAATCGTCGAAATAAAATAATTTTATTCCTGAGCTTATTATTTGAAAACTTTGATTAGAAAATCCACATTACAAATTTGTAGTGGTTGATTGTAATTCCTTACACTTCGCACAACGGAGTGTCTTATTTTTACCTAAAGTTATCTAACAAGGCGTAGTTTAAGCGCACGGTTAAAGAACATAACCTAAGTGAACAACGTCCACATGCAGAATGATACTACAGATTTGCGTATCCTAAAATGCTGAACAAAATACCATACTACGATCACTTTCAAGGTTATTTAAACCAAAAATTATGAACGCATAGATAAAACAACATTGTAATTTAATAAACGACCACAACAATCTCAATATCTGTTTCAAGAAAAAAAATATTTACAAGTCGTAATGCAAAAGCGTGATAGCGGCTTGTGCCAATGGGCTTCTTCAGCGCCGGTCCTTCGAAGTGAGCTCCGAATCGGCTACAACCGTCCTCATTTCGGTCGTGCTGGCTTCCCGAACGTGACTTCGCGTTGCCTTGGTTCCCCCTAAACGCCGTCGCAGAGACGGCATCGTAATTATTAGGAGGAAAAAGTTGGCGATTGAATCGATCTGCAGCAGAGTGTTGGCGACGATGTCCCACACACCCAGGCCAACATCCGGATCGCCCGCAATGTAGTACATTGAGACGGCAAATGTAGGAAACTCAAAGATGGTGCAGAACACGGCGATTACCGTCACCGCGATCGACGCCCTGAGGTGATTATCCCGGCCTCCTGATTTTGCATTTGGATGATGCAAAAAATCTTGCGACTCCTTTTTGCAAGGTTTCAATTGAATGATTATTAGTGTTGTAAAGATGAGAATGAGGAGCCAGGGAAGAAGTGTTTGAAAAGAAAAGTAAGCAGCAGAGAAGCGTTTGAGATCTGACAGCAAGAATACTTCCGATTTTATACAATGAGAGGTGAATTTCTCACTATAACAAACACTAATCTTTTGATCAAATCGTCGAACGCCGGAGATAATGACACCAGTCAATGCAAAAAGACTGAACACAAGAAGAAAAATCCTCTTTTTTCTCAAGCAACGTTGGTAAAATCGCGAAGCCAAAGGCCAAACAACAACTTCGGCTCTTGCAATGGTTATAAGGGTGATGGCCCAGTTACGACCGCATATTCCCGTATCTCGAAACCAATTAAAGAAACTCGACAAGGGGGGTAGAACAGAGAATACGTGGGAAAGACTTCCGTTGATGGGCTTGGGAATAGTGCCTTTGTATATAATTTTGTAGGCGTACAGATTAATTCCTTCGCCCCCAGTGTACGCCGCGTGATAGAGAACTTCAAATAAACAGAAGATCATTAGCCCAACTTGCATTGTCGTCCTTTTGGTGCCACCGTGGGAGGATTTTTGACTCTTTCCACTTTGGCCTGACTTGCTTTGCACACAGACGGACGATGCACCAGGCGGTGGGCCACGATAATCAAGTATCAACAGTATAAGCGCCCAAAAATTGAAAAAGGCCCCGAGTACGGACAACGAAATCGAGACATATAGTCGAACGAAACTCGGGTATTCGACTTCGTCCATAAAATCAACATCACAGGATCCGGAATATTTGACGTTAACGTAACTATCCCAGAAGAGGGAACAGTTTGCCGATGACCTGCCACCTCCGTCTCCCATAGTTAAGCGGAATGGCCGAGAAAAATCCCACAACTGGCACATTTCTGCCATGAAGGGGCTAATTGGTTTGGGATTCAAAAAGCTGATTGGCCAATAGACGCACACAGAGCAATGGTTTTGTGTTGTCCAATGGAATTGTATTCTTTAAAGCCTGCACCCTACAGGAGTACGACGAGCGAATAGTTTCTTAATGTACATTAATACAGGACTCGATGTACGGGATCCGTTTGTTCCACCTTCAACTAGTTACCACTGCATAAAATTAACAACCTTAGAAATCTTTTCATTCGCACTTTGCTCAATCCCACATCTTAGCATTCCCAAATTTAAAGCGTGTAACTTGACAACCAAACTGAGAAGAGATTAAATTCAGTTGAATTTTATAGAATACCAGGGTATGTTGCCATCCCTTAATTTACCTTCAACTCAAATATTTCAAACGAATTCATTTTAAATCCTTTAGTAAATGCAGAATGCCATTTTCCTACCAAAAACTCTCACAAGTTTAGTTAAGAACTCGAGGGAAAATAATGAAATTTTTGAATGACGATGGTTGTGGCATCTTAATTTTCAGCTTGTTATTTAAACAGCCATTGTTTAGAAAAAAAATCCAAAGAAGTCCCTGGTGATTTTCACATCAGTTGCTTTCTGAACTGAAACCCTTGGTGAGATGTTCTATTCTACCAGAATAAGAAGCATTTTGATTTTCCATCAAATTCGTGCGTAGGTTACAAATAGCCATAAATTTACAAAAAAACGATGTCCAGACTTATTTAAACTAAAGTTATGACATGGAACAAAAGCTACCAGCGTTTGTGATCGTTAAAGCCAATTGCGTTTGCAATAATCACTCACAGAAATAATTTATCAATGCATGAGGAGCAAGCAGTCGCAGGAATTAGGACTAAAATGCGAGATCGAATCGTCAATTTTCTTCGATAGCAATGTTTAATATTTTTCAAACTAGCATCATTTGGCTTCCGAACCATCAATTGTATCTAATGGTTTGCGCTGAATTGCTAAGTTGAACAAATTACACTTAATAATACTTGACTGCCAAGAATACAAATTCTAATTACGTGTTAATTTTGACCATGACTAACAAATTAGTTGTTGAGAAAAGTTTTTGAAAGAAAGGTCTTACGGCAGAAACAATAATTAGTATAATTAAGACTGTGCCTCTTAATTTCAAACTGTAAATAATTTGCAAAAAATTGTTTAGGCTGACTTCGAACCTTAGTCAACGTTCTCGATTGGCAATCTGCCATTTTAAAGGGATCCTAACTGCGTCGAAATTATTAGCACCTACTGTTACCAAGGGAAATTTATCGTCATGAGGAAAAAATGTTAAAAGTGGGAAGTGTGGCTAGACACTGACTCTCTCGAAGGTTAATAGTTCTACAACCGTTTAGTCATCTGCTGGATAAACGTGTGTCGAACGTCATCGTGTGCTTGTGTAAACATTGAGACTTAGCGGAGCACATAAGCCGACGAACACTTTCTGGGGGCGTTTCTGGTACGAGTCACCCTCTGACAAACCTGTACAGACGATCGCCCATCGGTAAACATCCCACGAAAAGCCGCTTTTGGCAAGTCGTGTTTTCTGATGGACTTACATTCCTTGGAATGCTGGTCGCATTAGCTCTTGTAATTCCAGGAAACTTCTTAGTTTACATTTCTAATTTAGTGCCACAAGCATTCGTTTAAGTGCACAGAAACACAATTTAAATCGAGGTCTGAGGAATGTAGCAGACAAGGCATTTAAATTGCTTTTTATAAATAATTCCACACATTCTTCAAAAACAATCGTTTATAAGGGAACCAGATTCAAAGAGTCACTTTCTAGCTGCAACTGAAACTATGCGCGTCATAATCAACAGCAGCAGCATGAAAGTTAGTAATTAAACTTCTACGGATTCGCTTTCTAACTGCGAGAACATTCAGGTGTTAAAGTTGCAAAAGGAAAGAAGGAAAACACGTCCCCTCGAGAAATTTACAAGTACACTTTTTGCAAACTTCTAGAATTAAGTGTCAGTAATATTTCAAGGCTTCTCTGACTTGAAAATTGAAAGATATAATTTATTTTGGCGCAATTACAAAAGAAACTTTTTCCAATAAAATTAAGTCGATTTTCAATATGAAACAGGGATGATAGGTCTGTGGCGTAAAGCCAATTTTGTGGACAGCAGTTGTAGATTAAAACGTGGCGCCCCACTGAGGGAGGCGCTGTAATGTGTCGCCTTAAGGTCAGTCAGAGAATAGTAAATCATGCAGCCTAATGTTCACATTCCACATCTGACTGGTTGAAAGTACTTACTTAAAGCGCCTTCCTATCAAGGCTCCTGGACAGACCACATCTAGGGCACCTTTTAATTCTTACGCATGAATTTTTCACGTTTACTGTGGTTTATCAGAAAAGAGAAATGAGTAGTAATTCGTGCGGGTTCACGTCCGAAAACTCGGTCGTCGCATTCCCACTCTCATGCGGAGCCGTCTGTTCATTCCTATTTGACCGCATTGTCCCCTGCTACGCGTGACATTCATCTGACCGTTCAGTCCATCATACCTTTACTAGTTTACGTAAACAGTATTGATCAAAAACTTCATTAGTCATACACGACTTTGATTCCTCGTACACGTAAAATAAAACTAGCTTGAGCCATGTAATAAACGGTTGTGTTGGAACCGGTTCCGGTCTTATCAGTTTTTCTGGATTTCTGCGTAGCGTAGCTCGGTGGATGATTTACGGATGGTCATAAAATTAAAAATTGGGGAAGGTTACTTTCCAGATTTTGCATTTTATTTATGTCTGTGATTATACATTACCGTTGTTCAGAACTGTTTCAGCCAACTTACGTGCGTTAATGAGCCCATCCAAGGCTAAAATAATGGTTCACACAGTGAGCTCACAGTCCTTCATTGAGCTGACTTGTTATTATTATTGGTTTTCTCAGGCTCAAAGCAGAAACACTTGATGTTGCTACACTTGTTTTCCATTTCTATTTGGGTTTATTTTGATCAAAATGGAAAATTTTCAGTAAATAATTAGAGGGACATCGAGATTTAACAAAACGTGACATCTCGTGTTATTGAAAGATTAGGAACTGACAGTAGAGGTAAATTATGTCAAGGTGTGATTTTAATGTGCTTAATCAGGATTCAACGCTACCCGTGTTTCATAAATATTCAATGACCATTTAGAGTGCTGTTGCTCGTCTGATTTATGATGGATGATAGAGGTCCCCTGCTGTGTCCGACCATTGATTCTAGGGTCCACTTGATTAGTCTTTGCTGAGTGCAGACGTTTTTGCTATGGTTTTAACTAACTTTGAATCAAATATTCTTTCATTCATCATTTATTGGCGATTGGCTTGCCTACGTAAGACATACGCGGGATAATTCTCAAATGTGCCTACCCGACACGATCGAACGTTTGTTACCTCGGTTGCTTGATTTCTTTTCACGCCACACGCAATAACTTTAGTTCAGTGAATTGAATATCAGACAGGTTGCCACACAAACGAACCACCCTCTAATGGTGTGGTTAGGAACCCACATGGGTCCCGCGACACATTACAGTTCACCTCTTCTGGTTGTCAGTCTAAAAAGTGGGTACATCTCTACCTGCAGACAGCTCATTGCCTTTTGCAGTTCTGAAATTGACCGTAATAAGGAGCTCACTATCTACAACTATTTAATTAAATCATAGCATTACTTCCTGAATCGTGTGATCGACAAGAATGAGTCAGTTTAATTTAAGCACCACCTATACCTATTTTGGAAGTCATTCGGAGAAATTGCTCATAACCTAAGGTTACTTCACCAGTAGAATGAAGATTACAAGACGAGGTGTAGGTTTGTACTAGCTATTGCATTACCGTATTGTTGGTTCAACAAAATGCACTCTAAACTGCGAGAAATGTGACAAGTAAATTATAATCAAATAATTACCTTCCTACTTCAACTGTGAATGACACCTGCAGCCGTGGCCGTTGTTAATTAGGAAGGTTTTCTCGGTGCCTCATTCATAATTCAAAATGGACTTCAGACGTTTCCCCGTGCACAAATGCCCATAAAGCAAAGCGCAAGCGAACAAAGGTACCTCCTAGGATCATAATTTGTAAGACATGCTGGCATTTTCACCGGAGGCAAAAAACAGTCACGACAGGCGATTCACTCTGTTCGCGGATTAATTTCTTTAGTGAAGCACGCTCTGCGAAAATGAGCATGCGTGCAAGGCGTGAATGAAACCAGGTCGTACGTTTCCTGTAGCCACATTTACTTGTCCACAAATGGACAAAAGGTTGCAATTGAGCTGTTAGTTTTTGCTGTCTTCATGTTGAATGTACCCGAAGGGTCTCGTGGCTTTATCTGTCAAACATGCCTTAAATGATCCTTTATTTTCTTAACCTCAATTTAGTGTCATTTGCGTCGAATAGTAAACATGAGCTCTTGCTTGCGCATTATCTTCCCTCATAGTTAACAGCACACGAGACACGTCACAACTCGCAGAGGCGCTAAATAAGCGAACCAGTTTATCTCACTACTGGCATCTTTGCATTTCCAGGGTGTCGCATCATGTCTTACGGCACCAATAAGCTACTTTCCTAAAGGGGTAGTAAGGATTTGCTGGGAGGTAAGATGTAACGTAAATAACAAAAGCCTTTCAAGTGTATACCCGTCGATTGTAAATTTATCGCAAAAATAGAACAAAAGAAGACTGACACAAGAGCAGTGGTTATTCTCATTGTACAGACTAGAGTTTTTTGAATGTAATTCTTGTAAGGAACAAAATTGGACCACTAATAGAAGCCTTAGGTAAAAAGAATAAACTAATTTGAGTTATTTAAAGCCATAACTTATATAATTAGAGTGCTCCACTCATTTCGATACCTCAGTTAGAGGCTTTGTAATTCCAAACACAAACCAAAAGCTTCTTTTTGGTCAAATAAGAAAGTTTAGTATCTATTAATAGAACTCTGTCCACGTTAAACACAGAA